TGCATCTTTTATTTTCGTCTCCATTATTTTCCACCTAACTATTCTAATTATACATTCTTATGTACAAATCACAAATGTAATAAGAGGATATACATTTTTGTTGAATCGGTACTTGTTAATGCCGTGTGAAAATGTTGGCCAAACAAAAAAATGCCGTGTGAAAATTTGAAAATTTCCGTAAATCTACAAGTCTAGAACACAGAACTTTTCATGAAACTTGAAAGTCTTCGACTCTTCGAAGGGAACAAAATTAAATATTTTTGAAAAACAATATTGACTTTGTAACAATAATTGGTACTGAATCCAGATTTATAGGTCAAACATCAATTTGCAAAATGAAGAAGTTAAATTTAAATAGAATATTTGCTTTATTTCAGTTTTTGATTACCCTTTTAATCTTGCGGTAATTTTATTTTCCATTACAACATTCTCTTTCTCTTAACCAATGTTCTAAAATACGTTATACGCTAACCGGACGGTAGATCATCGTATAGTGTATAGACGTATATGCGGACGTTTGTGCGGGGTATATACGGTGGATATTTTTTGCATATATATATAAATATATTATGTTTTAATAAGTAACAGAAAAAATATTATCATGAATTCTATGAAAAAACTTAAATAATTAACATTAACATAGTAATTTTAATTCAAATAGTAAAATTACATAGTTGAAAAATTGTTTTAAGTAACAAAAAATATAATTATATCAATTATATTATCAATTATATTTTTGGAAAAAGGTCAAAAACATAATTTTATTTGAAAAGTTTAGAAAATATACGCGTCAAAACAGTATATTCGGTCATTTACTTATCGTATACACAAATATTTTTTTTTTCATTTAAAAATATGTATAGCATAAATACGGTACGGCAAACCACTGTATAACGCCTGGACGCTGTATATATGGACGCCTGGATTGTATTTCAGAACACTGCTCTTAACACATAAATAGCAGTCCATAACATTTTTTTTAATTTGTAAACCAGTCCCTAATTATTCTCTTCTTTTGATTAATAATTCCGGCTTAAAATTAGAAAATCAAATAAAGTAAATATTTAAGTATCTATCTACAAATGATAAGAACTATACATACATTCAAAAGTTTGTATATGTACGTTTTGGTAGTAGTACCAAAGAAAACACCTGTCTCAAAATCCCAAAATCTTCCCTTTAATTTTTTTTTTTAGTGTCGTGTGGTTTTACCTTTTTATTTTTACTTTTCTTAAATCATTCATTCTTTAACCTCAAGCAAGAATCACAATCTGCGAAACACAAATTCTTCATCTTTTTAATCTCTAGAACAAAAACTAAAGATTTTAACTTTATTTCTCCAGTTTTGTCTGTTTCTTTGTACACTTGGTGATGAATCAATCACATTTGATCTGATCCTTTCCCAAAAAATTTATGTTTTCTTTGATTTCAAGTTGAGTTTGTTGAATAATTCCCTAAAAATTAATCTAATTTCGAATATAATTTCCAAAAATTGATTCAATTGTTGGTACTTTGTCAAATCCGAAGAAGGGGTTTATTGAGTTTTGAGCTTCTCTTACTTTGATCCAAAAAAGTTTTCCGATTTGCTTAATTCGAACTGAGAAATGGAGTCTCTACCTTGTCCATTTGGTGACCCAGCACCGAATTTATCGGATTCGGAGCTCCGAGAAACCGCTTACGAGATCTTAGTCGCTGCTTGTCGGAGCACCGGAAGTCGTCCACTGACTTACATCCCGCAATCGCCGAATCGGACGACAACGGCGGCGTTATCGCCGTCACCGTCGCTTCATAGATCTCTGACATCGACGGCTGCGAGTAAGGTTAAGAAAGCTTTAGGGATGAAGAAACGAAGCAGCGGCGGAGACGGCGGAGGAGGAGAATCGTCGGATCGGAACAAGAAATCTGTCACGGTGGGTGAGTTAGTTCGTGCACAGATGCGTATTTCAGAGCAGATCGATTCAAGGATTCGTAGAGCTCTTCTCAGGATCGCTTCTGGTCAGGTACGTTTCTTCAAATCGTTATCTTCTCTGGAAAATTAGGTTTTTATGAAGAAGAACTATTTGAATCTGAGCTTCATGATCGTTAATTACAGATTCTTATTAAAGTTAATTTTTAGTAAATTGTGAATTGAATTTTTGTGATGTAGCTTGGGAGGCGTGTAGAGACTATGGTGTTACCACTTGAGCTTCTTCAACAGCTCAAAGCTACAGATTTTCCAGATCAGGAAGAGTATGAATCATGGCAGAGAAGAAACTTGAAGCTTCTTGAAGCCGGTTTGATCTTACATCCCTATGTACCGTTAACTAAATCAGATAAATCTGTTCAACAGCTTAAGTTAATTATCCGGTCGGGTCTCCAGAAGCCGTTAGATACCGGGAAAATCACGGGAGAGACGCAGAATCTTAGGAGTATAGTAATGTTACTTGCGAGTCGTTCGGATGGGACTGGTTCGGAAGCTTGTCATTGGGCTGATGGGTTTCCGTTGAACCTTAGAATCTATCAAATGCTTTTAGAGTCTTGTTTCGATGTTAACGATGAGTTATCGGTTGTTGAAGAAGTAGATGAAGTTTTAGAGCTTATAAAGAAAACATGGCCTGTTTTGGGTATGAATCAGATGATTCACAATGTTTGCTTTCTCTGGGTGTTGTTTAATCGGTATGTTACTACTGGTCAAGTGGAGAATGACTTGCTTGTAGCTGCTCATAACTTGATACTCGAAGTTGAGATTGATGCAAAGGAGACAAATGATGCTGAGTATTTGAAGATCTCTACTTCTGTTTTGGGTTTGATTATGGGTTGGACTGAGAAGAGCCTTCTTGCTTACCACGATACATTCAACATCGATAATGTTGAGACGCTTGAAACAACGGTTTCTTTGGGGATTGCAGTAGCTAAATTACTAGTGGAAGGTAATTCTAGCGAGTATAGAAGAAAAAAGAAGCATTTCGATTCAGGGCATGACCGAGTCGATACTTATATCAGATCTTCGTTGCGTATGGCCTTTTCGCAGGTTCGTTCATTTTTCTTTATTGGATTGATCTAATCATGTTTCTTCAGCTTTTTATTTAGCTTTTTTTACCTTTGTTTGTTGTAACAGACAAAGAAGATGGTGGAACATAGCAAGCGGTCAAAGTCCCGTCAGAGCACAAGCAATCTTCCTGTTCTTGCAATTCTTGCAGAAGATATCGGTCATTTAGCTTTTAACGAGAAAGCGATATTTAGTCCAATCTTAAAGACCTGGCATCCTCTTGCAGCTGGTGTGGCTGCAGCTACGCTTCATTCGTGCTATGGAACCGAATTGAAGAAATTTGTGTCGGGTATCACCGAGTTGACACCAGATGCTATAAGAGTACTTACTGCTGCAGATAAGCTTGAGAAGGATCTGGTGCAGATTGCGGTTCAAGATGCAGTAGATAGTGAAGATGGCGGAAAATCCGTTATAAGAGAGATGCCTCCTTTTGAAGCAGAAGTCGTTATTGGCAACCTTGTGAAATCGTGGATCAAGACCCGAGTCGATAGACTGAAGGAGTGGATTGATCGGAATCTCCAGCAAGAGGTATCTAACCACTTTAAAAAAAATCCCCTTTTTGTTCTTAAAGAGTTATTGATTGGTCTCTATCTGCAGGTATGGAATCCGAGAGCGAATAAACTCGGTATTGCTCCTTCTTCTGTGGATGTACTGAGGATGGTAGATGAGACATTGGAGGCGTTTTTCTTGTTGCCTATACTTTTGCATACAGTTTTACTTCCTGAGCTAACGTCGGGTCTTGACAAGTGCATGCAACATTATGTATCAAAGGCGAAATCTTCCTGCGGTATGCAGATTCCCGTTGATTGATTCTCTGGTTATTGGAAATGATGAGACTCATGCTTTGTTGATTTTACTGATGGAGTTTCTGGTTTTCTTAAAATTGTTTCTATTAGGCTCGCGGAATACGTTTCTACCGGCTTTGCCTGCTTTAACAAGATGCATGGTTGGGTCGAGACTACACGGCGTCTTTAAGAGAAAGGAGAAGCCAATGGTAGCTTCTCACAGAAGAAAATCGTCACAGCTTGGGGCGAGTAATGACTCAGCGGAAATACTTCAGTTCTGTTGCAGAATCAACACTCTGCAGTATATCAGGACGGAAATCGAATCATCCGGGAGAAAAACATTGAACCGTCTGCCGGAATCCGAAGTTGCGGCTTTGGATGACAAAGGTAAAATCTTTGAACAGTCGATTGGTTATTGTTCTAAAGGAATACAGCAATTGTCTGAAGCAACTGCTTACAAGATCGTCTTCCATGATCTAAGCTACGTTCTCTGGGATGGTTTGTATGTCGGAGAAGTTTCTTCCTCGAGAATTGAATCCTTTCTTCAAGAGCTTGAACGATGCCTTGAGATTATTTCATCATCTGTTCATGATAGAGTCCGAACCAGAGTCATTTCAGACATCATGAGAGCTTCTTTCGACGGGTTCTTATTAGTTCTCCTTGCGGGTGGACCGTCGCGGTGCTTCACGGTTCAAGATTCTGCTGCAGTAGAGGAGGATTTCAAGTTTCTATGTGATCTTTTCTGGTCCAACGGAGACGGATTGCCTTTGGATTTGATCGAGAAGGTTTCGACAACGGTCAAGAGTATACTTCCGCTTCTGCGTACGGATACAGAGTCTCTGATCGAACGGTTTAAAGCGGTGTGTCTCGAGAATCACGGTTCTGACAGAGGAAAGCTTCCGTTGCCGCCGACTTCTGGTCCGTGGAATCCAACAGAACCAAACACTCTTCTAAGAGTTTTGTGTTACCGTTACGAAGAATCTGCGACTAAGTTTCTGAAGAAGACGTATAACTTGCCGAGGAAGCTAACTTGAGAGTGACCTAAAAGCTACATTGGTACAAAACCCGGTTTAAGAGGTATGACTATTGAGTGTTGGGAAGTTGAACCAGGTGGTTCTTTTAGAGATATACGCCGGTTTAGTTTGAAATGTCTTATACTGCTTCGGTTATGAAGCGATTATAGATTTGGTATGGGGTTTGTTTGTTTTGATAAATTATTTGTACAAGAAAAAGAAGTATAGAAAGATTCTTCATTTGTGTAGGGTGCTTTTGTTACATGTTGTCAACTATATTATATTCGTATAAGTAATTTGTTTTTCTTTCTCTTATTTCGGTTGACAATTCCAAAATTGCTACGAGGTTTATTTGAATGTTCTTTTATAAAGTCGAATTGTTCAAATTCGATAAATAGTACTGCTCGGCTGATGCAGCCCATAATTAGAATTAGG